GAGCAAGAATCAGTAATGCCCCAAATATTATCAGCTTCTCCAGAAACAGTTACATATACTTCAGATGGTCTGATAATTAAGACTTCTGCCACAGAAATAACATCTTCTACAGTTTCCTCATTGTTCAGCACAGAGAGATTGACAACAATGCCAATTGCGTACTATAACAGCACTGTGACAGATCAGCCCATACCCTTGGCAAATGAAATATCTGGAAACACAGATGAAACGACCTTAGAAACACAAACAGTGTCTAAGTATCCCTTTGTAGAATTATCAACTCCCAAACTGTCCCCTTTTAAAACATCAACAAGTGGTTCAGGCTTTATTGAAATAACTACGAAGATCAAGGATGAATATGATTTAGCAACAGATGAGGGTGAAATATATACCAAAACTGAAAGCATATCAGACACGGTCAATGTGTCTTCCTCCCAATGGATGACCAGCACTGTGACTTCCTTTACTAGACTAAGTGGTGGAAAAATCATAGATGATTTTTTCCCACGTGATGTGACTTCTGATGCACCTGCCAATCAGCTAACAACAGTTGGACAACACATACATTATTTTGAGAACATCACAAATGTTTCTTCTACAACTGAGGTGGTAACATCACCAGCAACTGAGTTTGACAGTAGTGGCTCAGGTGATTCTGAGTCCTCCGCATATGAAATATCTGGATACACAGATGAAACTATCCAGGAAACACAAACCGTGTCTAAGTACCCCTTTGTGGAATTATCAACTCCAAAACTATTGCCTTTTAAAACATCAACAAGTGGTTCAGGCTTCATTGAAATGACCACAAAATCCCAGGATGAATATGATTTAGCAACAGATGAGGGTGAATTACATACCAAGTCTGAGAGCATATCAGACACTGTCAGTGCATCCTCCACCCAATGGATGACCAGCACAGAGGCTTACTTTACTAGACTAAGTGCTGCAAATGTTATAGATGATTCTTTTAAAGATTATGCCCCACATGATTCTGATGCCCCTTTCAGTGAGCTGTCTACAGTTGGACCACACATACCATCTTCTGAGAAAAACACAGATCTGTCAGATATAACACAATTCCAATACACTGATGATGAAGCATATTTGCCTAACAAAAAGGAGAAAACATCTCCTTATGATATTTTTATGAGTTCACCTATTTCATCATCAACCCCACAACCTTTATTAATCAGTTCCACGTCATTTTCCACTCAAATACCCCAAAAGCCAACTAAGCTAGCTTTAAGTGACACTTTTCCCTCAGTAGAGGCAATCTCAAGTTATAAAGGAGATCAGTCAGGTGATGGTTCAGCAACTTATGAAAGTGCATCCACAGGTTTTATAAAAAGTGCAACCTCTTCTCTTGTTAGCACAAAGAAACCCAAAACAACAATGATGCACATTACCTTTGAGCCAACTGCAAATGTCTTCTCAGCTACTGCAGAGCCTGAAAATATTGTCCAATTTCACACAACGGGGTCCCCTTTGTACCTTGTGGCAACTTCCCAGGAATCAGTTGAACAAGTGAGGTCAGAGATCACACTAACACACCACCCTCAGACTGACCTTTCCTCTCAGGAAGTATTTCTGACCACAAATTACCTTGCACCTGAAACTCATGAAAGTTTGATTACAGAGCCAGCAGTTGTTCAAGCTGCTTTGAAATCGAATGGCACAGTTCAGCTAAAGATTCAACTACCTTCTGATACATATGGCCAAAAATCAGACTTTCCAGATGACCTTTATGACAACAGTGATTATTTAGCTCCAGATAATAAATTGAGAAACTCTGACATTGTTGAAGCAGTTCCTCTTCTTAGTGAAACGACAACGCCAAGAACAGATCTTGTGGATATTTTTACAAAAGAGCCTTGTCCCCAAACCACTCAGAGTGAACAGTCTTCCCCATCATTGGACAATACTGAACATAGGTCAGAAGAAAAGACAACTAAACCACCTTTAGCATCATTTTCTACCACAGTTTTTACAAGAAGCCATTTCCCCAGTTCTGATATTAACACAGAAAGCAGCTCAGAAGAGAGTATGATCACAACAAGCACTGCTAAAGAAGATTTAGATGAAATTAAAGACATTACCTCTAAAATTCTATCAACCACAACTAAACTGTCCTTGGTCTCTACCACAACCACAGACAGGGATTCAGGCAGCTCTGAAAGTGTATTTGGAGAGCAGATAATAACAAATATACCAGAGTATGGCAGTGTTAAAGAAAAGACTCTGTCTCCTGAAGAAATCCCGACTGTATTCAAAGTGAATGCATCTGTCATACTGGAAAATCAAACAGTTTTGAGCAAAACCAACAAAGTTGATAGTGAAACTACCACAAGAACCTATGCAGAGTTCACAACCACATCATCAGAACAAGCTACATCTTTATCGACCACAGCTCCATCTCTTTCTAAGGAAGTTGGGAAGCATATTGACTTAACAGCATACCCATCCCTTAATCGAAGTGCACCAGTAACAACAACTCTGGCTGATTTAAGAGCTGATTTGGGGCACAAAGTTGTTGGCGAGGCTGTGGAAATTCCTGGTATGTTTATTTTATTGACTTATGTTAAAGTACAAAACACAAAAAAAACAACTTTTTGCCCAGAATACATTTTTCTGATTATTATTATTTTTTTTAAATCAGGAATTAATTCTTGCAAACAGAACATTTGTTTGAATGGAGGGTCTTGCTACAAGAGCGGGAGCATCTGTTCATGTAGCTGTGCTCCCGGTTACACTGGTCATCAGTGTGAAACTGGTAGGATATTCCTTTCATATACCTTTTTAAAACTATTTCTTGCTGGAAGAAAGTTCCTAACAGTTTTTTATGTGTGTTTCATAAAAAAGAGATTGATGACTGTCAATCAAACCCATGCCGCAATGGAGGCACATGTGTTGATGGGATGACTTCTTTTACATGTGTGTGTCTTCCAAGCTACTCTGGGACATATTGTGAGGAAGGTAAGATTTTAGTTTAATTTAAGTTTTTTGCTTTTTCCTATTATTTTGTTTCAAATCATTGAAGGATTTTTGTAAGGATGTTAGTTTTCTGTGGCCCGGTGTGTCTGTTTCCCTCGTGCTCCTCGTTAGTTTCCATTGTTGCCACCTGTGTCTCGTCCCAGCTGTTTGTCATCATGTCTCGTCTTCTCCTTGTATTTAAGTCACCCTATTCTGTCTTGTCCTTTGTCGGGTCGTCTTCGTTGGGTGTGCTTCCTTGAGTCTCCTGAGTCTCTCTGTTTTCCTGGTTCCTTGAGTTCCTCGTGTCTCCCGAGTTCCCCGTGCCTCCCTCCTTGTTTATGTAAGTTTTGCTGCCCCGTCAGCATATTTATTTTGTACTTTTCATTTATCATTAAAAACCTATTTTTGTATATCTGCCGAGTTGAGTCCCTGTTCTGCACTCTGGGTTCGCTCCGACCTCAAATCCTAACAATTTTATTCATTATTGTTGAGGGCTTCGGTAGTTTGGTGGTTAGTGCTGTGATTTTGTAATCCTGAGGTTGCAGGTTTGAGCCCAGGTTGTGTCAGGAAGAACATCCGATGTAAAACTAGTGCCAAATTTTCACACAAGTTTGCTCACTGTGGTGACTACTGAAGAAGGGAGCAGCTGAAATAAACTTATTGTTGCAACTGTTTGGAGTTATTCATTCAAATTCTGCACACATATCTCAGCTGAAAAAAAAGTATATATATATATATATACATAAATATAAATATATATATAAATATATATATATATATATATATACAGTATATATATTCACTTAAATTTCTTTCAATTAGCTAAGTAAAAAAACACATATTCCTTAAAGAAAATCCTGAAGTTTGTTGTTCATTATAATGCTTGAAATTCTTTAAAGTACCTTTAGTTCTTTAGATTTCAGACACTGCAGAAAGAAAAGCTTTGCAGAGAGTGGTGACAGTTGCACAAAAGTCTGTTGAAGTCAGTCTCCCCACCATCACTGACATTTACGCCTCTAAATGCAGGAAGAGGGCCACCTGCATCATGAAGGACCCCACTCACCCAGCACACCCACTTTTTGCCCAACTCCCCTCAGGAAGAAAGTTAAGGAGCATTAAGTGTAGAACCACTAGACTGAGGAACAGCTTATACGCTGAGGCTGTTAGACTCATGAATATCTAACTAGGATAATCACTGTGAAAAACCACATCATGTTGCTGCTGATCTGTTTCATGTTGCTGCTGATCTGTTTCATGTTGCTGTGTTCGTGCGTACTCATCTGCTTACACAGACTCATGTTGGTGCTGCTGTTTATGCTATTAGTGCTTAGCGTATTTTTAGTTGTTTTTCATAGTTCATATCTTAGATCTTATTATTGTTTTTCTTTTACATTTTATTGTTGGATGTAACTGGGAACCTGTGTACATAATTTCCTTCCACCACATGTACCACATGTGGTGGAATGACAACAAAGAAACTTAGACTCTGACTCGGACTCTGACAAGGCTGATGGCATTTTATCAAAATAAACTATTGTACACTAATCTTCTGGTTGCAAATTGTCAAATAAAATATGACCAAACAGTCAAAAGACAAAAATAGGCGAGATACAGTTTTGTATGCCTGTCGAAAGTTGGACGTATTATGGTTTTGTCTCCCTACATCCGTGCGTCTGTAAACTTTCTCCTGTCCAGGCCATAATGTCTGATCCACTTAATATAATTTAATAAAAACTTGATACACATTTGTACCACCAGTAGACAGCATGTTGTATAATCCATCCATCCATCCATCCATTATCTTTACCCGCTTATTCCATTTTGGGTCACGGGGGTCGCTGGTGCCCATGTCCAGCAATCACTGTGCGAGGGGCGGGGTACACCCTGGACAGGTCGCAAGTCCATCACAGGGACACATAGAGACAAACGAGACAAACAACCATTCACTCTCCCACTCAAACCTAGGGACAATTTAGAGTTACCAATCAGCCTAACATGCATGTTTTTGGTCTGTGGGAGGAAACCGGAGTACCCGGAGAAAACCCACGCATGCACGGAGAGAACATGCAAACTCCACCCAGAAGGCCCCTGGACTGGGGTTTGAACCAGGGACCTGCTCGCTGAGAGGCAGCAGCTCTACCAGTTGTGCCACCGTGCTGCCCCTGTTGTATAATCTTTTTTTTTCTTTTTTTTTTTTTTACCCCAGATGTAAGGTCAAAGTCCCAAATCAAGGTCAAAAGTTATACATGGTCTTTGCTTGTTCAGGCCACTGATAATAGACTGCTTTATTGCTGTAAAATAGTTTGTCAACGGGTGATTAATGTGCCTTATGCGGCACTCCCGTTCCTTAATTTTGATGGAAAATATCAAGAGTGAAAAGAAAAAATGGAAAGTAAAACACATAAAAGTTTGGAGAACACATCTACATTACTAAGTAAAACTACAGAACACAAAAACAAGGCTTGTTTTGGTGAAACTTTTGTTATTCCAAAAATGAACAACCAAAAGAACATTAAATTACTGTGAGTCAAGCTATATAAATTAGTTAAACGTTATGAAAAACAACTTCGCTCTAAAAAAGGAAGGGAAAAACAAGTACTTATATGTATGAAATGTATCAGTTTTTAAAGAAGCATACATTTATCTTGTACAATTAGACACACACTGGTGTTAGACCTGTGAGACAGTGTACAAAGTTTCTGTCATAAAGTTATTACACATCATTTGATATTAAGTGTTAATTAAACAACAAGCTGTGCTCTTGCAAGATCAATGTGAGGTTTGAGTGTCATATTGTTCAGTTCTCTGAGATTAGAGTTTTTTAGTGTCAGATTGACCAGAGCATTTGAGGCTACAGCATGCAGTCACCCACTCTCAGCACTGACAGCTGCTTTAGGGATCTGATCGGACTGTTAATTTTCCCTTCCACACACAAAAATATCCTTAGTAGGTGTCACATTAAAGATGCTCATTTATTATATTGGCATATTTATTTATAAAAATAAACAATACGACTGAACTGTGGCAAAATATTATTAATAATATCTTTTTGCTCATGTAAGAGTGTTTTCTATGCCAAGGGAGAAAATGAAATATTGCTCCTATTCTGGCATTTTGAATGTTAAATCTGATCTAACCATGACTTAGACATTTCTGGATCATTTTTACTCTCTTAGCAACATTTCCAAGCAAAAATAAGACTTTTTGACAGCACATAAATTCACTTTAGAGTTTAGAGTCTGCTAGTTTTCATGTCACATCTTATTTTTTCCTTCTTTGTTAGTTGGACTTAAAGACCGCTTTAAAATCTTTGCATGTTTGCTGCATATTCACGTCTGTTCAATTTAGGATCTGCTGTTGAGGCAACATAGTTCTTGGCTGAATTCTTTAAACTGGTCTACGCCCTAAATTTTAGTTTGAAACACTCATCAGGGAATCCCGCCCATAATATGTACAAGTTTTGCCACATAGAAAGGGGGAAAAGGGGGTAGTATAAGGAGGAACAACCCAAAACAAGTTTTCACTCCTGTTTTTGTAATTTAAATTTCAATTCAATTCAGTTTATTTATATAGCACCAAGTCACAACAGAAGTCATCTCAGGGCACTGAACAGAAACATTCATATATAAAAATAATAAGTTAACATTATTTATCTGAGGAGCAGACTGCTTTGAGTTTAACTCTTTTGCAGAACTCCCATCTTGAGCACTCACAAAGGCGACAGTGGAAAGGAAAAACTCCCTCATGAGGAAGAAACCTTTAGCAGAATCAGGCTCAGGACAAGTGGCCATCTGCTTTTACCGGCTGGGTTTGAGAGGAACAGATACACAATGGCAGGTCAAGAATCACATGCTAAGATAGAAATAGTATCAAATGCAAACTATTAACTTTTAGAAAATCATTTAAGAAAATGAAGTCAATTTGTCCTCTAGGTCCCTTGTCCTCTAAGCCTATAGCAGCATAACAAGCCAACTCGAACTATAGGATTTATCAAAAAGGAAAGTCTTAAGACCAGTCAAAACTGGACAATGTGTCAGCCTCACAGACAGAAACTGGAAGTTGGTTCCACAAGAGAGGAGCCTGATAACTGAAAGATCTTCCTCCCATTCTGCTCTTGGAAACTCTAGGAACCGTGAGTAAGCCTGCAGTCTGAGAGTGAAGTGCTCTGTTAGGAATATATGGAACAATAAGATCTTGAATATAAGATGGAGCTAGGTTGTTGAGAGCTTTGTAGGTTAGAAGTAAGATTTTGAATTCAATTCTGGACTTGACAGGGAGCCAGTGGAGAGAAGCTAAAACTGGAGCGATATGATCTCTCCCACTAACTCCAGTTAAGACTGGCAGCAGTATTTTGGATCAACGGAAGACGTTTTAAAGACGTATTTGGACACCCAGATAACAAACCATTGCAATAGGCCAGTCTAGACATGACAAATGCATGAACCAGTTTTTCTGCATCATTTTTAGATAAGATGTTTCTAATTTAGTTATCTGAGGAGTAAACATGAAAAGAAAAACATTTGTTTTAGATGTAGACTATTAATTTCCTACTAAACCTAATTTGTACATTTTGTATCTGTTTACTGCATTTACAGAATACATTTTTTTACAACATTTTCTGTTATTGTCTTGATGCATGCTCAGTAATCCAGAAAGATGAATCTATGATGACTATCACAGTCTAGACAGTTTTCTATTATTGTTGCTGGGGAGTGGTGGCACACAGGTGAGGGATCACCATATTCAGTACTACATTTTAAATAAAAAAAACACAAAAAACATACAGACATATTTTAAATTTCAGTTGAACTTGTTTACAGCTATCATTTTTCATGTGGCATTAGTTCACTCTTGTTGGACTCTTAGCTGTAATTTTATTTTGTCTTTGTTATTTCCTACTTAGTCAAATCACTTTAACATACCAGCTAGACCTTGAAACGTCTTCTCGCTTAACTGGACTCCATCCATCCATCCATCCATTTTCTTTACCCGTTTATTCCATTTTGGGTCACGGGGGTCGCTGGTGCCCATGTCCAGCAATCACTGTGCGAGGGGCGGGGTACACCCTGGACAGGTCGCAAGTCCATCACAGGGACACACAGAGACAAACGAGACAAACAACCATTCACTCTCTCACTCACAACTAGGGACAATTTAGAGTTACCAATCAGCCTAACATGCATGTTTTTGGTCTGTGGGAGGAAACCGGAGTACCCGGAGAAAACCCACGCATGCACGGAGAGAACATGCAAACTCCACCCAGAAGGCCCCTGGACCGGGGTTTGAACCAGGAACCTGCTCGCTGAGAGGCAGCAGCTCTACCAGTTGCGCCACCGTGCTGCCTTAACTGGACTCAATTCCTCTTTTTTCTTTATCTTTGGGCAGCATCAGAGAACACTGCAGGTCTGAAGGGCCAGTATACTCAGGTGTAAAGAGTCATTTGCAGATTAGTTGATGTCATAAATGTTAAAGAAGGCTGACAATTTGCTCAAAGTAAAAGCTAATAAAAGCATTTCATGCATGTTGATGTTGTATCAAGACCTAAATCATGTATACTTCTATTTGATCTCGCTCTCTTCTCTTTTAGACACTGAAATATGTGACTATGGCTGGCACAAGTTTCAGGGACACTGCTACAAGTACTTCCCACAGAGGAAAACGTGGGACTCTGCCGAGAGAGACTGTCGCATTCAGCGTGCTCATCTCAGCAGCGTCCTTTCCCATGAGGAGCAACAGTATATTAACCGTGAGTTAGATTGCACCAAATAATCACTAATCGGTACAAGGACATGCCTATGTGCCACTTCATAATAATTGCTGTGCACGATAAAACTGAAACAAAACAAGTGGGGTTTTTTTTTGTGAAAAAGTCAAGTGACTGCAAAGAAATTGTTCAGGCATTAAAAATGTAATTTTTATCTTTCCCTTGTACTCTCTGTACCAGCATAAAAGAACAATGAAAGAAGGAGAAATGTAAACTGTTATCTTTTATTGTTAACTGCATGGCAGGTCTGGGACAGGACTACCAGTGGATTGGCCTCAATGATAAGATGTTTGACAACGACTTCCGATGGACTGATGGCCACCCTGTGGTAAGATAGGTTGCTTTCTCCCATGTTTTTAGCCTCAACAAACATGGGCTCACAGAAAGTGTAAATATTTGGACGAGATGCAGATGACAGATGCAGTCATCTGAGTCGATCATTTAAGTAAGCGACTTTCTCATGACGTACTCTCCTCTGCCTTATAGCCCTATAACTTGATGAGTGCTCAGGCAGTAAAAATGATCCAGAACATGTTCCACTGAATCATCTAATGAGCATGGGGCCGAGTGTTTGAAAATCCTTCAACGATGCAAAATGTGAATTAGTAGGCAAAAAAAAAAGCATGCCATGTATTTGAAACTGCATATAAGTGTGTGTTTACTGGAGTCCTCGTAGCTGCTGAAGATTCCTTTCACTTGACAGAAAATTGAGAGGCGGTGTGTGTGTGTGAAAAGATAAGCTGAGGTCCCCTGGTGAGACCAATTTAGAGGTGATGAGGGTTTGAGTGAAGCTGTGTTTAGCAGGCGTAGACTGGTATGGTCCACTCTCAGCCGGAAGGCAGCCACTCGGGGGCAGGACCACCAGACAGACACACAGATGGGCAGCACCTGTGCTACGCTGTAGCTTGGGGTGGGGGGGAATGAAAAAACAAAACAGTGTAGAAGCAACCCTTAGGGGTCTGGGTGGGTGGTCACCTCCTCTAGCCCACAATAAAACTTATTTTAAACTACTGTGACCTTATGCTAAATACACTAAAAAAACTGATTAGTTTTAGTAGAACAGAGCAACAAACGCTGAAACATCTGTAAAGGTGTGTTTATGTCGGGGATCAAACTTTGATTAGTTCTGACGAGGATTCAGACGTGCTGGACAGCTGATGGGTCGACCATTTGTTAAGCTGGAGTGAGCAGAGCAGGAAGCTGGTGTAAGTTTGTTAACCATAATAACAGAGCAGCTGAGCCCAGAGGCATTGTGTGTGTGTGTGTGTGTGTGTGTGTGTAGGGGGGTGGGGGGTTAGAGTCACAGCTTTGAAGAAAGTGTTTGAACCTAAAAAGCGCTGAAAGACTGCAGCTACCATCAACTCCAGCCTGAATGGCCCACAGCTCTACAGCTGTGTGTATACTGTTTACCTGTCTGTACGTACAGTATGTGTGAGAACGCTTTTGTTTTGTTTTGTTGGGGTGGCCAAAATGATACATGAAATCATAGACACCCAAACCGAGTGATGAAATGTCACCAACAAGTCATAATAGTCTGTTATCACAAAAACACGCAAAGTGTGGTAACATAAATACTTAAAATGCCAAGAACATACAGTTTCATGTCGCTGTGATTTTCGACTTTAAAGGAATATTCCAGGTCAAAACATTATTAAATAAACAGTTTTATCTTTATTCTTAGTCGCTGCAGGATTTGATGTGCAAAATCATAAACAGTTTTGCATTCATCAATGTTTTTTTTTCTGTCTTAGTCCAATCATTCATCCATCCATCCATCCATTATCTTTACCTGTTTATTCCACTTTGGGTCACGGGGGTCGCTGGTGCCCATGTCCAGCAATCACTGTGCGAGGGGCGGGGTACACCCTGGACGGGTCGCAAGTCCATCACAGGGCCACATAGAGACAATCAACACAAACAACCATTCACTCTCTCACTCACACCTAGGGACAATTTAGAGTTACCAATCAGCCTAACATGCATGTTTTTGGTCTGTGGGAGGAAACCGGAGTCTCGGAGAAAACCCACGCATGCACGGAGAGAACATGCAAACTCCATCCAGAAAGGCCCCTGGACCGGGGTTTGAACCAAGGACCTGCTCGCTGAGAGGCAGCAGCTCTACCAGTTGCGCCACCGTGCTGCCCTTCCAATCATTCAATTCAATTCAATTCAGTTTATTTATAATAGTGCCAAATCACAACAAAGTTGTCTCAGGGCACTTTACAGGAACATTCACATACATAAAAGCCAATTAGTAAAGTTCTCTATCTAAGGAATCATGTCGAGACTGAAAGGTTTTTACAGTCTTGGTTGTGATGGGACAATGAATTGCTGAGTTTAGTGGACTTTTAAAGAGAACCAGTTACTCCCTCTTGTGGACAATATTTAAGATCACAATGTAGTCTGGGTTTATGAATCACATTTTGGAAGGAAAGTAAAAAAATAAAAGAAAATAATGAAAATATATTCATAATCATGTTGGTGTCAAGCTGTGTGCTTAATTAAAATACAAACAGATATACATCTACAGGTAAGTTTAAATCGGCCACCATCTTAATTTCAATCTTTATTTTTATTGTGGCTGAACAAAAACTGACCTATCACTGTAATTTTTGCAACAAATTCTATTTTATAAACAAGCACGCCATTCACAATGCCACAAGTGTAGACAGATGGTCTAAACCAGGGGTCTGCAACCTGTTCAATCAAAAGAGCCATCGCTGCCCCTTGACTCACAAAATTAAACATTTCTGAATCTGCAAAACCAGCTACAACTGGGATTATGAACTGGGCCACTTTGAGTTTGTTGGAGTATGGGGTTCCAGCCTATGGTGGTGACGTTATAAAATTAAAAGTATATGAAGAGTTTTAATACTTATTTATATTTTTACATTTTAGAACAAAATAAAATACAGTATTTATGCAAAGAAGGAAAATAAAATAATAGTTTAAACAAATGCTGATAGAAAATTAAAACGCAGAACTCTGCAGGCCTTGATGAGTCCACCTTTTATTTGTGGAAAAATAATGATCTCATTTTGAAGTAATAAAGTATAACATTACAGTGAGTATGGAAGAGGATTACCAGTAGGTCCACAGTGCAATAAATAAAAATAAAAAATCTCCTGAATTCCAACTTATTTTTCTCAGGATTTAAAGTTAAAGTCATACTATTGAAAATTTCAATGAAAATGCTACACTGTGGCCCTAATCCGCTTCCATATAATTGTGATTTATTGAACCTTTTAAATGAAAAACAAATGCTTTTATTTACGAACTTTTTATTTTATTTTATTCTGACCATTATTAAAATTGCCATATTTGTTTGAAGCAATCTGTCTTAAAGTTATTCCAAAGATCCCACGTTAAATACAGTAAATGAAGTGACTAAATGTAATCCACGTTTTCTTGTAGGGGTGCACCGATTGCAGTTTTCTGGTCACCGATATCTAAAAAGTCTGACCTGCCGATTCCGATTTTGGCCGATACTGATTTTGTTTGATAAGCGACACTGTCAGGTGTTATAAGGTCACAATGCACCTTCAATTTTCCAATATTATTTCCTTGAAAAAAAATACCCTTGACCAGTATCCTAGAAACAATATAAACCTGTTTTAACTGACCATGAGTTAGTGCTCTGAAATATAAATGAAGTTCAGGCAATTGTTAAAACAAACAAAAAAAAAATCGGTAAAATCGGTTTCTCATTCAAGTATTGTCTGCTTTCCTAAAATTAACAAAATTAGGGCCCGATTTATCAGTGCACCTCTATTTTCTTGTATTAGTAGCTTTATTCACACATTTGTAGAAAATTAGCAAGGCAATTGTTAAAACTAGTCTCTTCTGTTGTGGGTATAAAAACCAATCAAATTCAGTTTCATGTTAAGTTTTAGTCAAAGCTTCAATGGGTCGCTGCAGAGGGACCAAAGAGCCGCTTGTGGCCCCAGAGCCGCAGGTTGCAGACCCCTGGTCTAGACTTATCATCTGATTATGTTTTTTTTTTGTTTTAAATAAATTTACAGTAATTTGAACTCTTGCACATCTTCTGCTCGGGTAACCTCTGCCGTCAACACTATCAAACAAACAAAGTCAAAATAAAACACATTTACTCAGAAAAAAAAAAATTAAATACACTTAACATGACATTTTTTATTTCCTATTTTTCTACAGCAATATGAAAACTGGAGGCCAAACCAGCCTGACAGCTTCTTTTCTTCTGGCGAGGACTGTGTGGTGATGATATGGCACGAGGACGGCCAGTGGAACGACGTCCCGTGCAACTATCACCTCACTTTTACCTGCAAAAAGGGCACAGGTACACATGTCAATCATTCTGGTTTTTTAAATGTCAGATGAACTCATTAGCACGAGCAATTTCCTAAAGCTGCGTTTCTGTTGTAAGTTTTTTATAAGGCTGTCTGCTTTGATTTGTAGTGGCCTGTAGTCAACCCCCTATGGTGGAGAATGCTCGTACCTTTGGTAAGATGCGTGAGAGGTATGAAATTAACACACTGGTGAGATACCAGTGTCGATCAGGCTTTATTCAGCGGCATGTTCCAACCATCCGTTGCCGTGGCGATGGACGATGGGACATACCTAAAATCACCTGCATAAGCCGTAAGTACAGCAAGCGGTGCTCCAGGTTTAAAAAAGATATTCAAAAAAATTGTCCAACATTTTTCACAGATGTATCGTTCTAGCTATGTACTAAAACTTTTTCTTCCAGCGTCAGCCTACCAGAGGACTTTTATAAGAAGACATCAACACAGTAGTCTCTACAGCATCAACAACTTCCATCACCCACGATTCCGAGGGAGAAGAGACAGAACAGAGCAGAAGAGAAAGAAGCCCTGATTCTGAAAAAAGAAATGGCACCACTTCTCCAAGAACACTGGCCAAATGCTTGTGTGGAAAAAAAAAAAACACAAAGAAGAACTCATGAAAGAAACCAAGAGAATAAACTGCAGTTTTTATTTTTGCAGTTTAGATGACAATGGAACCAAGTGCCTTCTAAATGTTGACAAATGACTTTTTCTATCAAGGAGACTGTTGTGGAACAGCTGAAGTGTGGACAAAACTTTTCAGCTGGCTACTGGAAAAGCAAAAAATTACTCTTGTCCCACGTTCCTGAGTTCTGTTCAGCAGCAGCAGTTTTTATCTTCATCCTCAGCTGATTGCACAATGCGTTCACCAACTCTACACAAACTCTGCAATTCAAAAGTCTGAATAGTAAAAATTGTGTTTCATGTTTGTATGATTTTTAGACCGATCTTTGTAAATTCATGCATGAATAACGACGTCCTCATTTTTAACCAACGTCGTTACAGTTGATGAGTTTAAACTCAAACAAAAAGGATTTGGCAGCAAACTAATGTTGCAGTTTTTATAGGTTTTATGTCTATACAGTCTTCAGACTGAATTAGATACAACTTTACACATAGTTTCTAAGCTTTAAATGTACAGTTTTAGATAGTAAGATATCAGAGGATAATAAAAACAACCAAAATCGACAGCAGTTTTAACAGATGACTCAGCTGGAGTTCAATTCTGTTTATTCTGGTTTCACTGGTTACAATCTATGTCAATTCAGACATGTTTTTAAATAGACAAGAAACTGTAAAATAGTACAGATTTAGCTGTTGTATGATGCATTTTATTATGAAAGATCCCTCTTCAAGAGTACTTATTATCAAATCTTTTATATGCAGATGAAAATGGATTTTTCTTTAAGTTAAAGAAGGGAAGTGTGGCTGATGTAGTCTATATTCTCTGTTCAGTGCTGTGTGTTTACATCACCTGCAACGCTACCTTTGAAAAACATGCCATAAACTTTTTTTTTTTAATCTTCCCCTGTTCTGTTGTAGCCCATATAGTCATTTAATTTGATGTTTTGGACTCGTGCCTCTCTTCACTGAACTTTTGTGTGATTTTGGTCCATTGAGAGAATGTATTTTGTGAAACACTCAAAGGCTTGAACATAACAGCTGTTAAGGCAGAAAGATTTCTAATTTATTTTCAAGCTGCTTTTGATTTTCTTCATGTGTTTTATGCTGGCATGTTAAAAAAAAACTGTTGCTGTTTCTTGGCCCAGCGGCACTTTTTTATGCACACATATACTGTATTTTTAAACTTTCCACAGAAGACTGGATACAGTCACAGACTAGCAAAGCAGGATGGATTGATGATAGGAAATTACTCAGAAAAAACAAAATAAAAATCACATAAAAAAAAAAACTTTGTTAACACCAAGTAAAACAGTGGACTACAAAAGCAATATTTATGTTCTGTAACACTGGCAAGACGTGTGAACAAATGGATGGAAATGCATTTCCTTGGAGAAATGTTTTATTGCCTGTGAATGTCTCTGTGTGTTTCACCCTTATTGTGCACATAATACCATTTTATATTTATATACCAACTTTTTAAAAACTTTACAATGTGAATGTCTGAGCAATTTTGTGATATTTTAAAATATATGTATTTTAAATGGTTTTTGTTTAAGTCACGAAAGAAATAAAATAAATACATGTTTTAAAATGTCTTCATATGTACTCCAGCATGTGGGCGGTGCTCTACTTGGAGGGTGCAGATGTAGAGGGTCCCATCACTGACCTTGCAGGGGTTTCACCAGCAGGTAGTGCTGTTAAACTGAAAACATCAACAGTTGTTGAGCTTTCCTTTTGTACATCATAAACATGTTGAAAAGGCCTTTACAGCTTCATGTGAAGTGGTTGTTAAGGATTTTTAAAGCAAAACAGAGTCTTGCACATAAATCTCAAATTCAGATACGACAGAGCTCTGAAGTAAGAACTGGATTGAAGAAATTTGATGTTGAAATTGAATCGGCTGATGCAGCAACATAACATGACTGCACCACAGGAAAATACAGTTTTAATCGCTATAACTGAAGCTACGACTCTGGAATACCAGTCGTTATTCTAATGCATGAAGATTTTCTTCGGTGTAAAACAGAAACCTTTTCAGTAGATTGCCCTTCACCGGCGGTCCCACAGTGCAGCAGCCACTTTGAGCTTGCAGTGTCATTGCTGGCACAAAGCATCACCTGGGTAATACCGTTAACTTATACTCTTTGTAAAAGTTGAGAGCACTGATGTTGTCACTGTGACTGCTCATCTTATCCGACAAGACTTGTGTTCAAAGGCTGCTCCAAAAAGCTCTAGAGAGTCTAATACCTGGACAAATGAAACGCAGACTCAGTGGAAACGGCTCCAACTCCTCTGCCCAGATCTCAGGGATTCAACAGGCTTTTGAGGTTTAATTAGTAGAGGAAATGTGCTGCCTTCTGGGCCTCGACAAATATATTTGATGAAAAGTTTCATTACAGTCATCGTCATCGACTAATTATCCTGCAAGCTTTTTTTTTGACTGCTCCCTTCTTCAGGGGTTACCACAGCGAATTTTAGTCGCACGAAGACTTGGCAATTATTTTTACTCCGGATGACCTTCCTGACGCAACCGCAGACCACCGAGCTACCACGTCTCTCTGTGGAGCAGAGAGCTGCCATCTCGGATGCCCGGGAGAGCAGATAGAGGGGTTAAGGGCCTTGCTCAAGGGCCCAGTGTGGAGCAAATGAGGGTGGAGGCAAGTGTGGGTGCTTCACCTATCCCACCCACATTTTGATGTTGTTGGTACTGGGAGTTGAACTAGCGATTTTCTGATCACGAGCCCACCTTCTCTAACCTCTGTGCCACCACTCCCCCTACATAATGTACTACTACTAAAGCACTTTAAAACAACCTCAGCTGAATCTGAATGTCTGTGTGAGAAACAGAGAAATGCATCAGTAGACTTGCGAGGAAGTTTTATATATATATACAGTGAGGAATATAAGTAATTGAACACCTTGCAACTTTTCCCACTTAGAAATCGTGGAGGGGTCTGAAATTTCCATCTTAGGTGCATGTCCACTGTGAGAGACATAATCTAAAAAAATAAAATAAAAAATAAAAAATCCTGAAATCACAATGTATGATTTTTTAAATAATTTATTTGTGTGTTACTCCTGCAAATAAGTATTTGAACACCGGCCAATCAGCAACAATTCTGGCCCTCAGAGACCTGTTAATCCACCTCTAAAAAGTCCACCCCCACTCCACTTATTATTCTAAATTAGAAGCACCTGTTTGAGGTCGGTAGCTGCATATGAGATGAATTGATGGATGATTGACACATTCTGCCGAAATTGAGGAGACTGAAAAGGTAAGCTAATCATTTAATCATGTGTGCAGGATCAAGAAAACAACTACTGTTATTGCCAGTGTACAAGCCACTACTTTTTTCTCATTCTTTGTACCCAGTAGGTTGTATGAAGGAGCATGTTATTTATAATTTTCAAAAGTTTATTTTATTTTGAAGGACTTCCTTCTGTCTTTTAGTAGGTTCCTGCCACTGACTAACATTTGGCTTTGACGGAGTTCATCATAGATATAAACACTAGATACAGCATTGACCGCTATCGCCTATTGGCGCTGACGAACTGTAGGGCCGCCATCTTGGAACGGTCGACCACTCCACTCAGTGTAACCTGTTAAGCAGGAGCAATGAAGTATTTGCGCGTTTAATCAGTCAGAGCTGAATACTAAACTCATTCTCACGATTTTTTCCTCTGTAAATCTTAAGCGTACAGCCGCCTCTCACGGGGAGCAGGCATGTGTGACATAGAGATAATTTCCTGAGGTAATCAGATGTACAAGACCTTTTGGTTACGGTTTCAGACAAATACCCAACCACCCACTAAACATTAGACGTCGAATGGATGTGCAGATCACGTTTATATTGAGTCCGTCGGTCTAGACCAATTCTGGACGTCTCCACGACGTGCAAACAAAGTCCACTCTGGACGTCTAACCATGACCTCACTTGTACGTCGATATAAAGTCGAATGTTTGAACGTCGGACTTGGAGGTCGTATAGACATCCAAGACAGGTGCAGGTGTGCCTTAGTGAATCTTAATTTTTATAACCATAAAATTTACAAACATAATTTATAATCATAAAAGGGTAACTGTGCACAGTTACTCTTTTATGATTTATAAATTTGCACGGCTTCATTCATAAACCAAAAAATTAGTTAAATTTTGATGTAGAAAATATGTCTATATTGACCGTCCAATTGACGTCGGAAAAAGACGTCGTCTGTCGTAACAGTCTGCACCTGGGAGGGACCCCAATTAGACGTGCAAAAACGACTAAAAAAGACGTCATTTGGACGTCTCCTTGCTCAGTGGGCATAACTCCACCCACTCTGTCATCATGTTACCTAAAATCTAACTTGACCAACAGGTACTCTCGACGACCATCCCCCAAGACAGACGTGAATTAATTTCTGCAGCTAGTTCCCATGTTGTTACTGGATTTTGCGCTTCATGCACAGACCTGTTCATTTGTTCAGCGATAACAGAAAAAGCACAGGGAATTTCTTATTACGCAGCTTTCCTGTTTAAAAGCAATCGGCTGTCGAGGGGGAAACAGCTGCAGCACCTAAGCTGCATCAACGTGTTGGTGATCGGGGATTGGAGAGGCAAAAGCAGTCAAGTCTGGTACTTGTTTGATAAAAATTTTAAAATTCTTTCTGTATGACATATTTCTGTGTTAGTAAATAAGCGTTTAAATACCGGGATCTCATTTTAAACTCTCATCCGAACACGAAGTGGAGAACAACAGAATGTGTCTCCCCCCCCTTTCCGTCATCCCACTGAGCAAGGAGACGTCTAAACAACGTCTTTTTACAGTCGTTTCTGCACGTCTAAATTGGGTCCCTCGGAGGTGCAGACTGTGACGTCAGAAGACGTCTTTTCCCGACGTCTAAAAGACGTCTAGTTTCGACGTCTAT